CCCGCCCCCCACCCACAACAGCTCTTTCCTGAGAAGGCAGACTAACTCTGGAACACCCTCCAACACTCCCCCACCTCCCCTGAAAGTCAGGCTTGGGGCTAGGATCACACCCAACCCCTTTCCACCCCTCACCCCTCCCATACACACCTTAGAGACCCCAGAGCCCAAAGCCAGTGCATACAAGCCCATGTCCTTCAAACTCAATTCACCACCACTGGGGTGGTTTAATTTCGTAGCCACCCTATAGGACAGAGTAGTTTCTGAGACTGTAACACTTTATGGGGATAGACAGCTTCGTCTTTCTCTAGAGTGGTGGCTGATGGGTTTGAACTGCTGACCTTAGGGCTAGCGGCCCAATGAGTAACCACTAAACCAACAGGGCTCCTTGGACCTTTGTAAACACAGCTGTGGGCTCCTCAACCTCAAAGACTGACTGGCCCAGGCCTCGAGTGCCCAGGCCCAGTTCTAGGCTTGTCCTAACCCCAACCTTAGCCCCTGAAACCAGTCTCACAGCTACGCTCAGTCTGGGACCCCTGAGCCCACCCTGCACTCACCTTTTCAAGCTCACGGGCACTGGGACCTCCCCCATCAACCTCAAACCCTCAGACCACAACTCCTATCTTGCAGCCTTGGACCGGCCTCTGGGGCCTCCCCACCCCCAGCCTTCTAGAATCCCTGGGCACCTGGCATCCCGTTGACTGTTTTTTCTTCTGTTGCAGGTGCTACTGATGTCTTGGAGGTTCCTCACCCCCAAACCCCACTCCACACCAGGGCCCTCACCTGACCTTGACCCTGAGGTCTCCTGATGGGGCTGAGACATGAGAGGAAGCTGTCTGCCTGCCCTCACCGTCCTATCCACTCCTTCTCTGCAATACAGCCCTTCTGAAGTTGGCCTCATCTGCCATCTGCTTATGCTTGTACTTGGGGCAGGGGTAGGGTTGGGGGCGAGGGGAGCGGAGGGGAGGACGGGCATGGGGACAGTGGCAGACAGGAAAGTCAGACCTGGGCAGCCCATGCCTGGGACAGTGCTGTGGTGGGGACGGGAACACAGATTCTAGCATGGATGTACGTCTGGACAGACACACACGCCCAGAAGGACAGGTCTATAGCGAGTTCAGCTGGCAGATCAGGGCACACTGTTGACTGAGGGTTAAATATTAAAATGCCACTGCCCAGCACCCACCCCTCGCCCTACACACACACACACACACACACACACACACACACACACACACGCCAGCCCTGACCCCAAGGGGCTGATAGAACTTTGTGTTTTAGATAGTTATTATTCTGCAATTAAAAGGTTACTACTTGGCACAGCAGGGATCCTTAGGGATGGGGGCCCCAGACTAGCAGCAGGGTCTGTGGAGAGATCTGGCGGGAACCCTGGCCTCACCCACCCCGTTAATTCTGACTCATGGGGAAGCCCAGTGTTACAGGGTACAGCTCTGCCCTATGTGGGTCTGCAGAGCAGTGACCTTTTCAGAAGCACTTCGGCAGCCAAGGCCCCACACAGGGCCACCTTCCTACCCAGGCCTCCACACAGCCACAATGGCCACAAACAACCCACTGCCATCCAGTTCAGTCTGTCCTATAGGCCAGAGTAGAACTGCTCCCGGGGGCTGCTGAGACTGTAACTCTTTACAGAAGCAGACAACCTCATCTCTCTGCAGAGGAGCGGCTGCTAGTTTTGAACTTCCAGCCTTGAGGTGAGCAGCCCAACTTGTAAGCACTTTGCCACCAGGGCTCCTTCCCAGGCCTTGGAGGTTGTTAAAAAACGTTTCTTCCCTCTCCTCCCCAACACATGATGACACCTGAATTCAAATGTGTATAACTCTGTTCTGGCTGCAAATTGTCCCCACAGCATCCCCACCGCCACATCTGGCATGAGGGCCCTTGATGGATCTGGGGGAGCTGAAGGAGGGAAATGGAGGGTCCTGGAGTGCAGAGAGAGGTGCGGGGACAGTTCTCCGGGGACGACAACTTGGGATGGGAGAGAAGAAAACATACTGAGAGTTAAGAGCTCTGGAATGTTAAGCTGCTAAAAGCCCAAAGGAATAGAGACCCACTGCCATGAGTCCATTCTAACTCACAGCTACTCTATGAGACAGGCAGCCTCCCTCAGTGTCGACTTGAACCGCCAATCTTCAGTTAGCAGCCCAAGTTAAACCCACTGCGCAGTCGGGGCTGCTGTGAAGATGCTCAGAAGCCACGGTGAACTGAGCCGGTGTGAAAAGGTCGAGGGAGGTGGGAAAGAGACCGAGGTGCTCAAGGGCTTGGGATGCACTCAAGACTCCAGGGACGCGGACCAGGGACCGGACCGGCACAGAGCGGGAAGTGCTGGGAAGCTCAGTGAAGATTTTATTGAGCACCTATCCCCCTCACGCTCTGAATCAGGACTCGTGCCCCCCCACCCCCACCCCTTCATCAGAGAATGTTGTAGACAAGCCAAAGAGCTGGACATTCAAGGATGTGCACCGGTGTCCGATGGAGGGCCAGGCAGACACTAAGGGGGTTGGGAGGTCTATTAAGGGAATGATGAAGGGTCATAAAGGTGTCACGGGAGCAGGTGGTGCCAAGAGCCAGGGAGGGGCTAAGGGATCTAGAGGTGCTAAGGTAACGGGGTGGGGATTTGGCAGGAATCTAAAAGTTCAGGGTCAGAATGATGCTAAGGAGTTAGGGAGGGGCTAACGGTTAAGGCGGGGCTAAGGGGTCAGGGAGGGGCTTAGGGGTAGAGTGCAGCTAAGGGAACAGGGAGGGGCTAAGGGCCAGGGAGGTACTAAGGGGTCAGAGAGATGCTGGGGGTTGGGCTGGACTACAGGTCAGGACTGGGCAATGGGCCTGGGAGGGGCTAAAGGTTGGGTGGGGCTATAAGCCAGGGAGGGGTTGTGGGGCGGGGTTATGAGGTGGGGCGGGGCTAAGAGGTTAAAGAGATGCTAAGGTGTCAGAGAGGAGCTATGGGCCAGGGAGGGACTAGGAGCCAGGGCGGGGCTAATGAGGACAGGGCAGGGCTATAGATTGGGGCGGAGCTAACGAGTAGGCCGCAGGGCTATGGGGTCAGAAAGCTGCTAAGGCATCAGGGAGGGGTCAGGGTCAGGGGTTCAGGGGAGGTGGTTCGGTGTGAGGGGTCTGAATAGGCCCTGGTCCAGTGTCACTCCCTCAGCTGCACGGACACGGATGAGTCGGTCACCCTGGTCCTTCGCAGCCCGCCAGCCTCCATCCGGTTCTTGGTCTTGTGCATGAAGTGGATGAAGCGCACGCCGGAACCGTAACGGCGGAATACGTGGGACACCTGGTGAACCCCGAGATCAGGAAGAATTCCTTAGGGGGACCCCTGCATCCCCCCTCTCCTCCCCGGCAGGGACGGGGGCGGGGGCAGGCAGTGTCTGACCTGGACCCAGCATCCGGGACAGCCTCTCCGGGAGACTCGGGGGGCCGCGTGGTGTTGGGCGATGACGCTGCGGCGGTCAGCAGCCAGCAGCCAGACGTGCAGCTCATAGACACAGGTGTCCAGGCGACTGTCCTCGAACCTGGGGGCGGGGCCAGGCCTTCAGCTGCCACACTGCAGCCCCGCAGCGCCCCAGCCCCAAACCCTGGCCCCATTGGCCATTCCCGACCCATAGCCCTGGGCTGGCCACACCCTGATGGTGGAGGCAACCCCACAACCAGCCCATATAGGCCCGGGGTGGGGGTGGGTGGTGGAAGGGCCAGGCCCAGGATGTGGGGGGCGATGAGGGATGCACAGACAGGACTTGCATCCGGACTGGACGGCCTCTGGTGTCTGGAGGAGGCTTGCCTCTCTGACTCAAAGGATAAGGAGGGACTCACTTCAAGAAGAGAGGAGGGACAAGACAGAGGCACCGCCTTAGCAACATATCAGCTGCCTGCATCTTGCAGGAACTGAGAGAATCCTCTGGGAG